ATATCTCTTGCAAAGTAGTGATAGTGAAAGTAGTATATTTAACTCATCAGTTACAACAGGTATTGTACCTGATTTGCTTAAAATCTCAAAAATTATACAAATCTATAAATCAGGAGAAGCCAACTCTTTAAATAATTATAGACCTATTTCAATCCTTTCGGTATTCGCAAAACTTCTTGAGCGAATTATCTACAATAAATTAAATGAATATTTAAAAACTAATAAAATTATCAATAAAGGTCAATACGGTTTCCAAAAGCGACACGCAACAGAGCATGCAATCCTTGATTTCTCAAATAGGAATAGTAAATCTTTTAAACAAAAAAAATTCACGTTAGGAATTTTTATTGATTTGTCAAAGGCGTTTGACACCGTCAACCATGAGATTTTACTGACAAAAATGGAAAATTATGGCGTTAAAAATAAAGCTTTAACTTGGTTTAAAAACTACCTTAATGACAGACACCAGTGTGTTATTATAGATAAAAAAAGCAACACAAATTTACTGAAAACAAAATGTGGTGTACCCCAAAGGTCCATTCTTGCTCCTCTTTTGTTTCTTATTTACATAAACGATCTCCCAAATGCCTCTAATATTTTCAAAACTATAATTTTCGCCGATGATACAAACTTATTTTACTCATCAAAGACTATTGAAGACTTTAATTAAGATAAAATAAAAAAAACAAATAATAAATTAAAAAAAATTTAATATATGGTTTAAATCAAACATCACTCAATATAAATAAAACTAAATATATTCTATTCCACTTTTCTCAACAAATTAAAAAGCTTTCCCTTAACCTACCAACAATTACTATAGAAAATCTAACCATCGAAAGAGCTCTAAATACAAAGTTTTTAGGTGTTCTAATTGATGAACACATCTCTTGGAAGCCCCACATCAACTATATAAATACAAAAATATCAAAGAACATAGATCTACTTTATAAAGCAAGATCTTTCTTGACACAAAAAAGTCTAATACTCGTTTATTTTTCCTTTATACATAGCTATCTTATGTATGCCAATATAGCATGGGGCAGTACCCACATAACTAAATTGAAACCGCTTTATCTGCGTCAAAAGCACGCTTCAAGACTAAAGTTCAATAAAAACAAACTTACTCATGCTTAACCCCTACTGGAGCAAATGAACGCTTTAAATATTTTTCAA